ATATAGCCTCAAGGTGCTTTATATTATTTGCTTAAGTACTGGGCCTGATGTTGCATTCCTGCAGTCACATTATCCTTCCAGTAACAGAAGAACTCTGTGGTGTGTGTTTACAGGAGTTTCTGCCCCTAAAAGGAAAAAAAATCTGGGTCTACAGTAAAGCACAGAACATTAATTAAACTCAGCAGCATATTATTTGCCATTTTTATGGGACCTTGTGGCAGAAGATTCACAGGGACAGATAGTTGGATTTCCTAATCCCCTTTGTTCTTTAATCCTCCACATGTCCACTGAGGGCCTTCAGCTTGACTTGTTTGACCTCTACGCTCAGTTCATTTTAAGATGCATAACTTTGTGTGTCAGTGGAGTTGGACAAGGTCCTTAAATTTTAAATGACAAGCAGGTGGTAATGGATGCTCCTACATGTTTTTTTAGATACAGTTGTGGTCACAAGTTTAGATCCACTCACCATCGGCATGAGTGTCATAGTAAATTTGGTTCTTTTAAGGATTTCTTTGAAATGTTCTATTTCCACGGTGGAATAATTGGACAGCATATGTCTTTAAAACAAGAACTGTGTGAATTTATTTTGGATTTTTTATAATCCAAAAAGGCTCAAAGGTATACATACAGGCTTAAATACATTCATAAACTCACTTCAGTCTTTTAGTATTTGATGCTGAAGGTTCCAGATCATCAGTTACACAACACATGCACATTAAGTACAGGTTATTCAGAAAGAAAAGAAACTTAGCAATACACACCCAGTTACCTTGAGATTAATGAAACGAACTCTTTAAACCCTTTAACTTCTCCAACTAATCAGTTGTGTTTTGACAAGTCAACCGTCATTGGTAGTTTTGACAAGTCAACCGGGCAGAAGGAAGTTCAGTTCTAATGAAAAAGTTGAGAAAAGTCAAGTGTCAAAGGTAAAGGTTTTGGAGAGGCATTCAAAACTAGACTCCAAAGTCTTATTGAATCTGCCTTAATTCTAGTAAGTAAGAAGTCTTTGCTGTAGTAAAGCAGGATGAGTCAGATTATTTGACCTGCTGCCATGTCTGAACCCTGTTGAAGTATATCTTAGAGATATCTTTACACAAACTTGACCCAAGGTCTTGTCTCTTGCTGGGAGTCACAGTTCATTAAACGTAACCTTTTGAGCCCTTCCAGGTTTTCTGATTTACAGCAACCTCCTCATCCTTCACTGTACCATCTCTCTTTTTTGGTCCTTTATTATTGATTTAATGCAATGTGTTCTGAAGTGGGTGATCTTGATGCTCAATTGGACGTAAAAATTGAGGATAGCAATCCAGAACATAATTAGTGGCTTTCTTATTACAGTATTTCTCAGTCCAGCTGCCTTCCCTTCAACATCTGCTCCTGATATGACTGGCTACAAGACACCAGATGTTCTGCTCCAACCACCCAAAATAAAGACAGGCACTTTCCTGAAGACCTCAAGCGGTAGCTCCCCGCAGATGACGGCTGAGGCCAGGAAAACAGTTCCAAGAATTGACCCACAAATGAAGTCAACCACCTGGAGAAGGACAGCAGGAATTAGCTCCAGCCCTGAGGTCACAATAGCAGAAACCAGCAGACACAAAACACCAACCATTCCCCAAACAAATATTGATTCTTCACGGGAAACTCAAGCAGCTAACCTAAACCTATCCAGGACTAACACAGACATGTTCAAGAACATCTCAGAGATTGTGCCACACCGAGTCAAGCAGGAGCAATCTAAATTCAGAAACACTACAAGCAATCCTCCGACTGTAGCTTCACCATCAGATCATAATAGACTAGCTGCAGGTAAGCCCCAAATTTCCAGTAAATTCCATTTAAGTTTTCCTTTATGTGCGAGGTATCACACTGTGCTGAGCCTCAAGCAAACATGAAGACAAGGAGACTTTAAAAGGGAACATTCAGTCATTCTGGCCATAATGTTTTATCACAGTCATTAAAATAAGTACCAGGAAAATAATTCACATACTGTAGTATACATATTTTTTTTAGTTTAGCTATAAGAGCTGCCCTAAGGGGATTCAGGATTTCAATTTGAGAACACTTAAACAGGTCGTTTTCAGATGTTAGGAGTAACCGACCAATGTGATCTTTTTTTGGAGATCTTACCACTGTGTGTGCTTGAACAACCATTCAGAAACAGGGAAATTCACATAAAACAAAAACAATTTAGACCAAAAAAAATATTGTTTTTTACTCTGTATTCAGGAAAACTGTAGTTCAATGATATGTTACCTTACAGAGCTAATGCTGCAGTCACAATAGGAAAATCAGTGGAGACCATGGCACACCCAAGATCATTGCGATCGTTTGTGAGCAACTTTCAATTTTGCTGCTTCTTGAAATGGTTGTTTCAATGAGTCATCAGTGCATCAAGATAGTTATAAAACAAGCAATAAGATCAAATCAGGCTTGTTTGCAATTGAATGGAGTCAAGTTGGCAATTACATGCGTCAGTTACTTACTGTTTATGATAATACGGTGATTAACTGTGATAAACTGACCAAAAAATGCAAACCGGTTTATTTCTACATACACAGAAATTCACATGAACTATTTACATTTAGCATCAAGTGAGAACCTCATAGTTGCGAAACAGAAATTCAGAAAATCCTTCACAATTATTGACTCTATTTACCTGTAAGATGACACAGGTAACGACTTAGCAACCTGTCGATATTAGTGCTCCATTGGAGAGGAAGTTGCAAATTAATTGCAGTCATCGGTGTAGGCTGACCCATTGGCAGTCCGTCTGCATTTATAAATGAGTTTGCAACTATTTGTAAACCTTCACCAATCTGTCTGAGAGAGGTCTGTCCGAGTCAGACTGCGACTGTATGGAGACACGTTGCCTCCCACAAGGAGGCCTGTGTGCCTTGTGATCAAACGTGAACGCCCACAGGTTGAAGGTGGAACACCGTCAGTGTAATCGTTGATTTTTTCCTCATTGCCTATTACTACTCTTGTCTAATTGAACCATTACAGAGCACACAAGGATATTTGTAAGTATATTAATATTTGATACTTGTAAGACTATAACTAATGAAAGAAAGCAAAAATGAACTTTGCAACAGTTTTATTTGTATGTTTTCAGAGATGTCAGATGTCAGAGATGCAGATTGTGTTTGCTTGGGAAAGCTACAATCCGAGCCTTCTTATACGACAATGATTAATCTCATACGACTTTATCTCCCAGGATCAGTGAGGTCTTTGGCTGTCAGTTTATCAGCTACATGCGCCAGCAGGCCCTGCTTTCCTGGGGTTCAATGCATCAACCGCAGACCGCCACATGTGGGCTATGTCTGTGGCCGCTGCCCACCTGGACTTTATGGCAATGGTCGCATCTGCATGAAGAACTCCAAGAAAGGTGGGGGAGCTTTTCCATTTAATATTTTAATGTGTTGGGGGATAAGCTTCCATGATTTTTAAGTCTTGTCAGGGACTTTGCAGGAACCAGAGTGATTATAGAATTTTTCACAGGCCTTTAGGACATTTAAAAAAAATTGGCAGTTAAATGCAGTTGAAGTTTCCTTTAACCTTAAACTAACTAATGCTGTTGACTCAATTCAGCCATAGATCTACTTACACTGGCTGGACATCAGGTGTTTCATAACCTTTGGGTCACATCTAGCCCCACACATGATTGGTCAATGCTGTAATTGAGTCACAAAAGCAGCCCAAATTGGGGTGTCTGCTCTATATAGCATATTCTTCCTATTCTTTGTACAAAAACACATTGTGTTGTTTTTCAAAGGAAAAAATAAGCATTAATCTGATGAAAACATCTGTCAGTAATGTGCATCCTTCCATACACTGTGGTCTGCTTTTAAGAGCTTATTTTGCACTCGTTATATTCTGGTTTCCCTGATGTTGCTTTATGTGTTTTTCTTGATTGGAAAGAATGTCATTTATTGCAGGAGATAAATCAGCATAAGTGGTTGGAGACTGCCTGAAACAAATAACCACCTCTGGTGCATTGCTTTTTGAGTCGGTTCCACAAAGTTTCTACAGCAGATTCCTTAATGTGACTTCACACAAGGGGAGATGGTGGGGGGGCTCACAACTCTAAAGAGACAGTCTGCTTCCAACTTAAATCCCCTTATTGTGGACTGTTTGTCTGGAAAGTCACATCACCACAAACAAGACATTAATCGCTTAAATTGCTTTGCTGTTCTTCTCTTTACTTTTATTTGTCCAAGGACAGAAAGCAGACATGCTTTTTTCCTTCAGCATGTCATCGTTTGACCAGATGTTCTGCTTTTCAATTTTAGTTTTATTTTGCTGTATTTTATCATTTAATGCAGCGTTTTGCAGATTCCTGTCAAACCTCAGTGTATCTGTTAAGCCTGTCAAGCTGTGTTTAGTACGCAGCGACACATACGCGATACACAGCAGAATGACATCAATGGCAGCTTTATAATGACATGAGCTGTAGCACCCAAAGCTGCTGCTTTAGCATATTTTAGTAATCTAATGCTTCTCAGTAAAGATTCCAAAGCTATGACTGGAAATTTACGGTTTGGGGTAGAAATATGAATTTCTTAGGGCTCAGTACCTCAGATCTAGTTGCTAGTTGACATGGTAACCATTGGCTGCTAGGGAAAAATTTATATTCCCTGACTGGTTGCAATGAAACAGATTGCTAAAACCTCAGTTATGCATGCCTAGAGACCAATCAATAAACCCCTGCTAACCACCAATTAATAAACTGCTTGGCATGTCATTGCTGAAGGTTGCGAGCTGTTGCTAGGTGAAATTGGTCACACATAACTTTATAATGTTGCACTGAAATCCTCCTTACAGTTATTTTGGTCACTGGGACGCTGGCACTGTCACCAGTTGTTTGTATGGAAGATGCTGTCTACAAATACTTACCAACTACTAGGGATGGGTATCGAAAACCGGTTCTTGTTGAGAACCGGTTCCCGATACCCATCCCACCGGTTATCGATTCCAGTCGCCCCGAATGACGTCACCACGTTGCGGAGCGTCATTTACCTGGCAGGAAACATGGCGGCTCAAACGCTCAAAAGTTTGGTTATACTTTACGAGAACGGATGACAACAGGGCAACTTGCAATACTTGCAAAGTAGATATTTCATTTAAGGGAGGAAACACTACGAATATGCAAAAGCATTTGCTCACAAAACACGCGATAACCTTAAATGAATGTCGTGTTGGTGCGTGTCTGGCAATCTATTTCACAGCAACTGCCAATAACCCCTCACACCAGTCTGAGGCCTGTGTAACTGAGGCCACTCTGCTGTTCTACTTAACTCTAATTAGGGCCAAATCAGATTTCTTTCTGTAACATATTTTTAAACCACTGTAGATGACCAAGGTGTTGTCCATACCACTGTGGAGAACATAAATAGATCGAAAAAATAGAAAGAAAGACAGAATACAGGATCCAGTTGTATAAAATCAAAATATAAATAAAATTAACAAAGGTATTCTAAAAACAAGACAGAACAGGAAAGAAATGTAACACTAAAATATAAAAAACAGTAAGAATATGTGAAGGCCATCAAAAACATGCATGTCTTTGGGGGTTTCGTTTCATTAGAGACTTAACATTTGATTGTTCCAGAGTTATCGAGTAGGCACTGCCAAATCTCCCTTATTTTGTAGAAAAACTACAAGCAGTTGATCTTAAAAGTAATACCTTTTGGCTTGATCCGGATTCTATCAGCAAAGAAGTGGATGAACTATTAGATTTCTGCAAGAGCATATGCAAGGTAAATAAAATAGGCCCTAAACTGGAACCTTGAGGCACACCATAAGTAATTGGGGCTGTACATGAAGAGAAGAACCCATTTTTCAGGACAGGGCCTTAGATGCTAGCCTAATCCTCTAGAAGGTTGGCAAGAAAGTAGATCTAAATCTTACTGGAAACAAAATGGCAACAAAAACAAAAACAAAACGTGCTGCCTTTAAACTGGAGTTTAAAGGCAGCACGTCATCATTAAAAAGTTTGTGTAGAGCATATTTTGAGCTTTCATGAGTCCTGAGGCGTGATCGGAAATTTTCAGTGGCTTAGTCTAAAAATGAAAAAGGCGGAGCATACAGCATTTTTTCCATGAATTCCATCATAGAAATATAAGTTCAGAAATAAAAAATTACTTAACTCTTTTCAGGCAAGGTTATTTAATAAGGACATGGACTGCTTTGTTAGCAAAATTTGTAATCAGGGAAATTGAAGGTTCTGGAGTGTCCAAAAACTGTGTAGGAACAATATCCCAAGGGCAGTTGTATAAATTTTATGTATGATTGTATCATCAATGTGATATACAAGCTAATATGACCGTTATCCCTTTCCTCAGCATCCAATCACCTGCCTCAGCAGCAGACACCAGGCAAGTCCAGCCGATCCTCATATGGAAGTAGCAGCAGCAAAGTCGTCCATGTCCACCTACCCAACTTGCCCAACAGGTATGGTGTCAAGCACCTGTCCTCATCCTTCATTAGGTCACACCAAGTTACAGGATCAGATAGAGAGGGTGGCACAGGAAGAAGAGAGGCCATCATTTCTGCTGCGAGGGATGTCGCTGCAAATACTCACATCACACGTGCCAACCCTAGATCAGACACTGGGACATACGCCAGTGCCTCCAGGGAGATTGTCATGCCCCATGTAACAGTCTCCAAGGTGAGTTGGTAACTGTTCAAAGCATTAAAAGAAAATTGTACAGATGGACATTAAAGTCCATTTACTCACTTTATGATCATCTTCCAGAAGTCTGAAGGAGCTCTTACTGGTGCCACGCCTGTTAAAGTAACTGCCGCTGCACCTCGGCTCTCCATTCAGCCTGGAAGAGTAACGGCAGCTAAACAAACAACCCAGCCTCAGCTCAACCACCTGACATCCACCCAGACCAAACCCTGGACTCCACCAAGACCTGCCCTCCCACTTACAGCAGCCCTCACTTCTCTGTCGTACTCACTTTCTGAGTCTGAGTTCTCTGCAGACGGGGATGAAACTGAGCCAGGATCAGAGATGCCGAAGATTGTGCCAGTACTGACCCTCACAACACCCGACAAGGTCTATAGCTCCCTGGCACAAAGATCTACATCCAGCCAGTCATCAACTGGAAGTGGTACACTAGCTGACGAACATTTGATGGCTTGTGCAGAACGGCCATGTTTTCCTGGTGTCCAGTGTGAACCAGCCAAGGATGAGGGCTTCCGCTGTGGAAGGTGTCCAGTAGGATATACTGGAAATGGGCATACCTGTAAAGGTAAACCTGTTCTCTCTTTGATATCCATTATTATTCATATAAGATACAGCCATGAAAAAGAGTTTTCAACAGGACTCTTCTGCAGCAACCTTGTGTTAACTAAGTACACCCCATGAAATAGCTTAGCAGCAACATCATGAAGTAATCATATATGACTTAATTTGTCATGGTCACGTCACTGTGGATTACTGTGTTTCTGTTCATTGAGGTTTGAAGGTTTGTTAATGCACGACTATTATAGGGTCTGGCAAAAAAATTGGCAGGTTCAGGTTGGGGTCTGGACTTTGACTATTTTGATTCTATTTCTTTTCCAGCCATTCTGTTGCTGCTGTGCTTGGGATCATTGTCCTGTTAAATGACCCAGTTTTAGCCAAGCATTAGCTTTGACTCCAGAATTCTTCTGTATACAGAGGAGTTCATGGTGAACTCACTGATTGCAAGGTACCCAGGTCCGGGGGCTGGGAACAAGCCCAAATCATCACCCCTCTTGACAGTTCTGATGCAAATTTGCAAACCTAAAATTTGCAGCATGTTCAGTT